CTCCAAGCAATTCCAGATGCTTATGAAGATTTTAAACAGTTTGTTATAAATAATAAACCATCCGAAGTAAAAATATTTTTACGACAGAAACTTAAAAATAGTGGTAGCAAATGTTTGCTATCTAAATGGATTTCAGGAACATTCAAACAAGGTGCACGAAATTATACAACCCACGAAAAAAAAACATTGGCATTTATAAATTCTTTAGAAAAATATAAATTAGATTTACAACCAGTAAAATTTATTTTCCAAACAGACAACCTTTATACAAAAGATTTTACTAAATATAAACTAAAAGAGTTCTACAACAAAGGAAGATTACTACGATGGAGTTTAAAGGCACAACAGTTTGATTATGTTTCTTTATATATTTCTACTCATAAAAATTGGCAGATACATTAACAAGAGAATGGAAGCAATAAGACCATTACTAATGGAAAGCATGAAAAATTTAGAAAAGCAAGCAGAAGGATTACGAAAGCAACTCGCAAAAATCGAAAATGAAATAAAAGCAATAAGAACAGTCTTATTTCCCGAAGAAATTCAGGGTGAAAAGATTGAAAGCAATAAGAAAGAAGAATCCGAGGGATCTTTTAAGCAAATAGACGAAGAAGAAAGACAAAAAATACACTATGTCATCTTTACAGGTGAACATAAAGGAATTTATACACAATGAGCTGAAGTTGCAGTCCATACAGTAGGCAATAAGAACATTATATATCAGAAATTCTCGAGTCTTTTTGAAGCTCAACAAGCTTTGGAAAAATTCCAGAATACGTACGCAGAAAAAGCAAAAATGCCAGCTAAAGCAGCAAGTAAGCAATTACCAGTAATTGGTAAAATTCCTACACTTAGACCAATGACAATCGACAACATTCAGACAAAACAGCAAAAAGAAGAAATTACAAATCTCACACGAGAAAAGTTTAACGATGAATTCAAGTTCATTGTCAATTACACTGAGATTGATAAATAGACAAGTATTTATCCCATTGATGGAGTATACCTAGGTCCGAAGGTGGTAGTATTACCAGAAGCAAATCCAATGAAAGTATATATGTTATTCCAATCAGGTCTAATAAGTTGCATCTATTTCAAGGGAACCGATATATTTCAGTACTTTCCGATTAAGATCAAACAAGTTATAAGCCAGTATATATCTAGAATACTAGGAAAAAAGGAAGGATTTCTAAAAATATTTGCCACAACTCCTGTTTTCACAGAGGGGGGAGAAATTATGCAACCAGCACTACAACTTTGCCAACTTGGAGTAAGTAATACAAATTACCCAGATATAGGAAAAGCATATCATGAGGATGAGACAAATCAGTTTCTTAATAATTATGTCATAAAAGGCATCTGGCTCAAAGGGCGAATTAATTATGCGACGAAATCAGTAATCATCTGGAGTATGCAGTCAAGAGATCCATCAGAAAAAGACAGACAGACATTAAACAAATATCTAGATGATCTTATGCAAATTCAGTATGAATTCCCTACACAGCTAAAGAAGAATATTTGCATTCGACTACAGAAAGAATTTACAGAAGATCATATTTGCAGAGAATGCAACACAGAAGCAATTAAAGAAATGCTGCCAGAAGAAGAAGAAGATCCAATAATTGAAGAATAAAGACATAAGCGCATACGTCATGAAAATGTAGACAGAATGTAATAAGTCTGTATTGAGTCCCACGATAGATAAGGGACGCGTCTTTTAGTGGTCCATTTGAACCACTTTCTCTTTACTTTTTAAGAGTGGAGAATGGCATCTTGCACGATGTCCACCACCTTTTTGACTTTTATAGTGGAGAATGGCATCTTGCATGATGACCACCACTTTTTGACAAAAACAATGGCCTAACCTTATCACTTACTGCGGTATGGTTTTAGACCATTGATCCTGTCGGCTAATCTTAGCCATCTATCCTTAGCAACCCTGTCTATATAAGGAGTCGAGTATACCATTCATAAGGTGTGCTCAATTCAAGTTTGTATGAAGTCCGAGTCTGTAAAATATTTTCTGAAATAAAATATGTGTGTTTTAAAAAGAATGAGCAGTTAAATAATTAGCAAAAGCGAAGCAAAATAGAAGAGTGAAGCAATATACTAAACATTTTCTCAAAGGGTTTCCTGGAGCACTGAAGAGCTGGAGATCGAAAAGGTTGAATGCCAGAAAGATCAAACCCCAGTTGTGTTGAAAACAAGGAGAAAATCAGAGGTATATTCTTATCATTCTATATTCTCTCATGGATAATAATAATATGCCATATAGAGAAATATATAAGGATATAAATCGTCTCAAATCAGTAATAGAACAAATTGTTTCATTAACAAAAATGTTAAAAGAATATGAACAAATGATATTCGACCTAGTTAAAAATTATGTACCTAAGGAACGTTCAGTAGAAGATGAAGTTCATTTCCGAATATGCGATGATATTACTTCTTCAATTACCAGGATTAAAGAGTTAATAAAGAAAGCTGAATACCAAGATCTAGTATAAGTGTTCAAATAAGACTAAGAATTCAAAATATAAAATAATAAAAGATAAATAATGGACAACGAATATCATATTATAGAAAACATAGAAGAACTAGTAATTTATTTATCAGATATATTATTAGATAAGAAGGTAGTAACAAAAGTAAAAAATAAAGGAAATTTAGATTTAGAAAAGAAAGAAGGAATAAATAATAGTATATTAGAAAAATTAAATAGAAAAAACATTATACATTATGGAATAATGAATGGGGACGATTAGAAAAGAACAAGCAAATTATAATTTTCAAGCACCCTTAGTTGAAATAAATCAAATAGAAAAGAGATTAGAAAAAATAAAAGAAGAAGATAGGAAAAGGATAAGTTATATACACATAAACACAGTACAAATAGTATTACGATCAACATTTAGAGAAGGAATAAAAACACCCGTAAATATAAAAGTTGAAGATAATAGAATCATGCATAAAGAATCAAGAAAGCTAGGAGAAATAGAAGGAGATTTAGGGTACGGAGTAATTAAATTCAACATATCATTACAATTCCCTATACCCTTATCAACCAAGAAAATCAATCACTGCATAGGAATAATATGTAATTTTCAAGAAAAAACATTAATGGAATCAGGAGATATACCTATGGTTGTCTGTTATAGAATAGCATATGCATTAAGTAATAATAGTTTAAGTATGAATTATCAAAATCAAGAAAGAATATATACAGAAAAAATATTCAATGAAACTAGTACTATTATTAAAAATGATAGAATTCAAAAGAAATTCTTAAGAGGACATAGTAGACGATCATTCAGTAATTCTCCAAATTTAGGAAAATTAACTGAAAATAATTTATTAAAAATTCAAGAAATTGAAGAACCTCATACTAGTAAAAGTTTATATAAAGAGGATATAACAATAGAAAAATTAAATAAACAGGTTAATGAGTTCAGCTCATTAGTTATAAGTTTAAATAATAAAATATAAATTTATAATAACGAATAGGAAAGATATAAATCTTGAATTAATTGAGCTAAATAGAAGGGAAATAAAAGAAGTAGTCTATTTAATAGAGAAATCAACACAATATAAATACATAAAAAAAAATGAACAAAAATTAAAACAACTAGATTTTGACATACAAAGGTATAAGTAAAAATTTAAGAAAATAAATAAAATAGGACCACCTAAAACAATAATATAAATGTCTTCGAATAAAGGAGTATACAAAATCAGGCCAGAAAAAATATCTAAAAGGAAAACAAGTTTTTCAGAAACACAAAAATTAAAATAATTTCTTTCTAACTGTAGTATTCAATTAGACTGTGAATTTAAATGTTCTGAAAAGAAAAGTATCATTAGAAATAATTTTACTAGATTAATAGACTTTTTAAATAAAGATATTAAAAAACATATGGAAGATAATAAAGAAGAACCTGATACTAATCAGCTTATTCTTGAAAAATTAGAAAGAATAGAAAATAAAATAAAAACATTAGAAGAAAAAGATACTCCTATATCTTTAGGGGATTGGATTAATCTATAGGTAATATTTTACAAATGGAAGTTTTTATAAAGAATTTAAAAAATACTTATATACAAGTAATACAAATTATAAATAAAATAGAACTTGACTAAAAAGTGGTATCAGAGCAAGGCAACGATTAAAAAAAATAAAATTGAACATAAGAAAAATTTATGGAAAATTTAAAATATAAAAGAAGGTATAACAAGATATACTTATAACGAGTTTAGAATTTTATTATGACATAATGATGAAAAGTGAAGAAAAATTAAAAAGATTAATAAATCTACAAAAACAAGTAACAGTTGCATAAAAATAACATATTAAAAATACTATAACTACAAATAACACTATTGAATAAAATAATAATAATAAATGGCTAATGACACCCAATGGGTGTCACCCTCGCGGGTGGCATCGAGTGAACCGTGTCACCTTAGAGAATAATGAATTAAAAAAGAAAAGAAAGAAAAGAAAAAAGCCTTTTGTGCACCATGAAAGTTGGACATAATCGTCTTCTTAATATGTCCACCGCTCATGTGGCATGCACACATTGGTGATGTATTTTTTTAACATATTAACATCACCAATGTGTACATGCCACATAAACGGTGGACATATTAACATGTGCCACCGTAGTCATGTGAGCATCCCACCCAAAGAGAGTCACTTTTTGTCGGTAGCCCCCACCCTAACTTCATTCTTAAGCCTATGTGTCACCTTAGAGAACAATGAATTAAAAAAGAAAAGAAAAGAAAAGAAAAAAGCCTTTCGTGCACCATGAAAGTTGGGCATAATCTTCTTCTTGATGATCCTCTATTGCCAGATAAATACTTTCTACTGCAAACGCCGCCACCAGCATTAGCTAATTTGCTTGATGGAACCGACCAACATACAAACAATCAGGGTCTTATCAATACAATATCATCAATCTTATAACTGATCAAATCCACACAGTTATACATAACTCCTCTTGCCAAGATTTGATCAAATCCACACTGTTATACATAACTCCTCTTGCCAAGATTTGATAGATTAATACCGATCTCTCCTTCCATGAACATGAAAGCTAAAGCACATTTTCCTGCACACAACCCGATTACAAGTATTCTTTAAAACATGTCTATGATGGTATATTCCATCTATGACATGCATTTCCACAACATTCCACAACCTCCAATTCGAAAACAATATCAACAAATAGTTCATATCAACCTGACAATTATTTGAATATCACCAAACCATCAAGGAGAGAAGCATATCTTGCATAAATAAACATAAAGTCGAACAGAGCTCAAAACATAACAAGTCGCCATAAAGGACCGAGTCAATAATATGTAAATTCTTGGCCCATACTACACCAACCTAATACACCTACTAAGTTTCTTTATTTCCAGCAAGATCCTTCTTTTTTCCCTTGGTTTTTGCCTTGCTTGTTTTTGTGGGTAGTTTTTTTGGCATCAGGTTCACAGTGCCACACGGACCTCTTCCGTTCTTGATTTCCTCCCCACGAGCAGCCAAAAAGTCCTCCACACTAACAATACCAGACTCCCCAAACAATCCCAATTTATCAGCAATAACATGAAAATTGTTACAGGCATCACACTTGGCAATAACAATGCCTTTCTTGTATGAATCGCCAGCCATGGTCTTGAGAGATCGTGCCCCACAGACTTTGCATATGATTAGTATGGCACTATCGTGTTTTTCGGTCGCCGTCAGGTTGGTATTCATGTCGAGCTTTCTGGAGTGGGTCTTCAAGCTGGGTATTTCATGTTTGGCCTGAATTGCAGTGGGTTCATTGTTAGCTTTGGTGCTGATGCTTAAGCTTAAGACTCGAGTGTACGGTTCATATCTGCGGAAGAAAAAGCTCGGAGAAAGACGCAAGTTCCGGGAGAGATCTGCAGACGTGTGAAGCAGAAAGAACTGATTATATAAAGAAATCCGAGATATAAAGATCACATAAAAAACCCAAAAGTATTTTCTTGAAAATGAGGCCCAGATTAAAATTGTGTGATTATGAATTTCTTAGCACCAAATTCCGAAGGTCAGTATAAGAACACATACTCACAGAATCAGCATGCTTCAAAAGAGTAAATTGAGAATACAAAATAGCATACTCCGACAAATCATTTTAGAGATGAATATCAGCATAAGACAGTTGCAGTCTGAGATTCCTTCAAAGAATACATTGTGAGTAAGTCAACTTGATGTGTGCTTCTCGGGAAGCTAAGATTTTTTTCACGGGGAAGCACTTGATATTTGAACTAAAGCATGAAAATAAAAGATTTTGCCAATAATAGAGTTTAATCAATGGAACTACACAATTTTTCACAATAATGGATTTTCAATCCATGTTCAAAGATGGATATCTATATCAAACGGCACAATGCACCTTGGGTCGCTACGGAAACAGCCTCCTTGTATAATTACAAGGGTAAGGTCTGCGTACAACTGATCCCCCAGACCCCAACCTGTTGAGAATATACTAGGTATGTTGTTGTTGTTGTTCAAAGATGGATATCTGTCATATTCTCATTCATCAGAGGTCACAGTTGGTGCAAGTTACAGTCACAATTGGTGAAAGTGTTACATATCGGAACAAAATATCAAATACATTTTTCAATGTCCTCCCAAATGCTCGCTATCTAGCTGTCCAGAGAACATTCCCTAATTCTTTCAACAGTCAAATGAAAGCAAATAAGCCAAATCCCAACAAAACGAACAAGAATCAGACAATTATAAAGAACAAATCCAAATCCATCACCTACACCTCTCCTTAAGCATTGCCAGGCAATTATCAATCTCAAAACCCTAATTACCAAATATGACATTCAAATTTCGCATCAATTTCCACTACAGACATCATCCCAAAAACAGAATCACACGACATAAACGATTCTAACCAAACCCAACAGCTTAATCCCTTCTAAACATCACTACGATCAGTGCTAATAAACCAAGCTTTCAATTCCACACAAACAACACATAAAACACGAGCGTACATATGTATTCATGTATGGTTAGCCGGCGTTACCTCTGGTAAGAAGGTTAGTGGGGATCCTCGCCGCCAGAAGAGAAAATTTTCCGATGGCCGCCATTTTTGCTTTGCTGTGGTTTAATTGGGGTTTTTACTCCTTTTTATAGTGGAGAAGATAAATTTGAAAGACTTGCTGAACAAGCAGGATTTTCTTTCTTAGGGCATCTGAAGGGGAACAAGTATTTTATCGTCTGGTACACAAATTTCTCATTAATAGCACATTCACCCCACTGTCATTTTGTGTATAAATGGACCAAAGCCCGTAATCAGCTCATTTAGCCCAAAAATATATAATAAAATTCTCGAGGAATTTACACTCTCCACTTAAACAATTTGAAAATATTATATAATTACATTCCCCATGTAATTATTTGTAAATTAGCTAATTTTGTTAATTTTATTTGCACATATGCCTAAAAAGATGATTCCCTATTTTACATGGTAACTTTCCATCAACTGATTTCCTATTAAATGGTAATTTCCCATCAACTACGTCTCTCTCCTATCCCTCTCTCTCTTCTTCACACACGACCCTATCCCTCTTTTCTTCACACAAGTCCCTCCACCGTCGGCGCCACCACCACCTCACCGTCCGCGCCAATAGCATCAATCGAAGCAGTCGATTCCTCCGATCCCCCTTCCAAGACGAATAGCATCAATCGAACCCGTCGTTTCGACTGAATCAGTCGACTCCTCCAATCCCCCTTCACACAAGTCAACCACCTCCTCCAATCCCCCTTCCGCCGCCGCATCCGCCTCCATCTCGCTCAAGCACCGTCTCGCTCAAATTTGCACTTGTGATTCGTCGATGGGGTACTCTTCAAGATCGTCTTGGCTTTTCAAGGCCGTCGTGTTGGTCTCCACGCTCTGCGCCTTCTTCCCTTTCTGCTGCTGCCATTTCTAATATATATTTTTAATTTATTTTTTCTGAGTATATATGCAGTATATGACCCGCGTCCCTGCCAAAAAATAAGCTTATGTTTAGTATATTAGCAAATTTTTTTGTTGACGAATGTTTGTTTCGGTCGGATTGATTTTCTTCAGTATATTATTAGTCTTTTGGGAGGAATGAGAATTGCTTATTTGTATTATTTTGTTTGTGTTCAGTTGATTTTTTGAGTCTATACTTTGTAGTTTTTTCTTGTTTTTATTGTTCAATGAAAATTGTATGGTTTATTTCCAGTATATTTTTAGGCATGTTTCACTGTTTTAGGAAGACGTTCGATAGTATGTAATAGTTAAAAATTTTCGGTATATTATCAGTATCTTTTCGGCATATTTTCTCATGGCATTAACAGGAAGACGTTCGACGGTATATTATCAGTATATTCTCGGTATATTTTCTCATTACATTAACAGGAAGACGTTCGACGGGTATATGTACAGTATATTTGCAGTATATGTTAAAGCAATATATACAGGCGATGAAGATTTCGTGAAATTTCGTACTCTTTGCCCGATTTCCTGAAATTACGCGCTAGGAACATGGAAGGTTGTTCCACTTACCTTGTAACTGATTTTAGGCATGATTATGAACATGGAAGGATGTTCCACTTACCTTGTAACCGATTTTAGGCATGATTATAATTAATATTTATCTTTTAGGTATATACACAATTTAATTGATATGGATAGTAATATTGCAATTATCTAAAAATCAGTAAGTATACATGAAAATTTCCCAAAATTCTCCACACTGTCCTTTTGTATAAAAGGACCAAACCCGTAGTCGGCCCATTTAGCCAAAAAACTATAGGACTATATCCATATTTCATAACTGCACCCCCTTTTAAAATGAGTACAGTACCCGTGTGATGCACGAGCGCATTATTACCTACTTTATTTTTAAAATGTACGTTTTGTATTTAAATTGTCTCATTATATTAAAAATATCATGAAAATGAAATTTATATATTATTGACCACTTTATGTATAACATTCTTAGTTTGATTCTTTCGAACGTAAAATACTTTATGAGTATTCGAATTTTATCTAAAATTATGTATTATTAGTTATTAATTAATAAATTATATTTAAAAAAAAAATTAAGGGATCTTATTTATTAAACAAAATTATAGTAGAAAGAAAGTAGAGGTTTTTAGGATTTTTTCACACTATTTTTTTAATTCTAATTCAGAATTTTGATTAAGTAAGATTGAAAAGAATCATTTGTTTTTCTAAAAATTCAACCGAATTTTCATACCAATACACTGATTTTTTTATCAAACAAATAGATCCGAATGTTTGGTTAAAACAAAGTGAAAAAAAAAATCATCAATTTTTCCCAAAAATGGAACCAAATTTTTCTAACATTGGGGCGATTTTTTTTATTAAACAAATTGAATTGAAATTAATTCTAATAAGAGTTCGGAATATTTGTTAAGATTCATGCAACTGTTTCTCAGTAAAACATGGTTAAGAAAAACATAAGAATCCAAAAACATCGGTTCATTCAAATTTTAAAAAGTTGCACATTATTTGATTTGAACTTTATTTCCTAATTAATTGGATAAGGTTTGATTTTAAATGTCAAAGATGAACCGATTTTGTTACCAAAAGGTGGATACGATTTTGAATATATATCCAGTCCAAATATTAATTTTGTTTTAAAATAAAAATTATTTTATTTAATTTGCACACATTTTTTAAAGAAAAAATTATTCAAAAAGATTGAAAGAATTTGTTAAGAATTATACAACTATTTATTTCCTAAATTTGTATCCAATTTGCACGGTTTTTAAATTAATTTGTATTTGAATTTGTTTTCGTAAATCTCCAAACTTGTCACAAAAAAAAATAGGATTCAAATTTGATAAAAAAAAAATAAAAAATGATACAAAATAAATAAGATTCATATTTTGGCATAAGAATCTCCAAATTTGTTACAAAAAAATGAGATTTTGTTACTAAAGATCTAGATGTATTTTTTCAAAATTTCTACTAATTGTAAGTCAACCCATTTATTTTTTTGGTCAAAGTTACTAAAAATGATTTTGACAACAACCTTTTTATATTAGTATAGATTTTTGAATTTGAATTGTCTCATGACATTAAAAATATCATGCTTATCAATTTTATTTTTCAAATCCTTATCCGATTAGTTACTTGTTTTCTAGATATATATTTGTAACAACCATTAGTATTTTGGATAGCTATGAATCAAAAAAATATAAAACATATATATAAATATAAAAATAAAATTGATATCAAATGATATTTTTATTTATGGAAACTAACACAAGGAACAATATAGTAATATATTATTTCAAAACATGGATTTAACTAATAATCCGAAAATTTGTGAAAACCGATTTGAGTGCAAACCAAAAGAGTGTGATTAGAACGTGTATTTCAATTTATTACAAATATATAATATATATATTTTTATTTGTTGCTTGGTTTGTAGATATATTGTTTTAACAACCAAAGATATTTTGTAAATTGTGGAGTCTAAGAAGTATAACTTTTATATTCCAAATATCATTTTATAAAAGATCGGGTTAGTCTAACAAATAAGCTCATGCTTATCGATGTTATTTTTTTATTGCATATCGGAATAGTTAATTAGTTTGTTTGTACATATTTTTTTTTATTCCAACCAAATATATTTAGTATTTTAAATATTGTGGATTCTATGAATAATTCAAATATTGGTATATGGTTGTAGATTTTAATTCAAATTCATATAGGATTAGGATTTATGGTTATAGATTTATTTGGTTTTTACAACTCAATGGTAGAAGAATTATCAAAGATTTGGTGTAATATTTGGCTAGATATATCATTGCACTAATAAGCGATTAAAATTCTAAATTATGTTAAATGAGATTTTCGTTTGATTATATTCCAAGTAAATCATTAGTATTTATCAATAGGATATTTTTTTCAAACCCTTATCCGATTAGTTACTTGTGTTCTATATATATATTTGTAACAACCATTAATATTTTGGATAGCCTGGATTATATGAATCAATAAAATATAAAATATATCTATATAAAATATAAAAATAAATTTGATATCAAATGATATTTTAATTTATGTAAACTTCCAATCGGATCAATATAGTAATATATTATTGAAAACCATGGATTTAAGTAATAATCCGAAAAATTGTGAAAACCTATTTGATTGCTCATAAAAGAGTGTGATTAGAACGTGCATTTCGATTTATTGCAAATATATAGTATATATTATTTGATTTGTTGCTTGATTGTAGACATATTGTTTTAACAACCAAGGATATTTTGTACATATTTTTTTATTCCAACCAAATATATTTAGTATTTTGGATAGTGTGAATTCTTTGAATGATTCAAATCTCGGTATATGGCTGTAGATTTTAATTCAAATTCATATAGTGGGCACCATAAACCATGCCACAATATGATGTGGCATGTGATGTGACTTTATTAATTAGATTTATCAATTCCATGACAGATATTAGGTGGCTTTTTTAAAAAAAACTAATTCATACAAAATCAGTTTATAAACTGTTCCCAAAATCAATTGTCGTTCCCCCAAATCCACTTCAACGTCACACAACCTCATTCACTGACGCCACCGCTATGGCCACAGTCGAGAGCTTTTTGCGGTTCTTTTTCCGGCGAAATGGTGGCCGCGGCGGTCTGCTTTGGGGGGAGAGAGGAGTTCGAGCAGTTGGGGAAAGCGGGAATTCATACCTCGAATTCAAGCTGTCGGGGAGAAAATCGTAGAACTCGTTGTTAGATAGGTTGAGGTCGGTGGCTTTAATCACATGCAAACAAGCACAGACAATAGAAAAAGCAACCAAAGCCCTCTAAATCAAACAGAAAAAAGATTCGATCTTTAACCATGAAATCGAGTTTTGCTTACAAAATTAGCTCATGAAAAAAATAAAAAGTCAGGAATTGATAGAACCCAAGAAAATATTATCCCAAATGATGGCCTAAATTGTTGATTCAGATAGTGAAAATGGAGCAAATATGTGCAATTTTTCTTTTTTTGTTACCTTTATTCACTTCATTACTCCCAGCCATAGGCCGCCCCTCAAAAATTGAAATAAAAAATTGGTAAAAAAGAGAAAAGGGGAATCTTTTTGCATCAAGTATTATTATTAGGTTGTTAAAGTTGTTAAAAAAGGGCAAAAAAATTTGAATTGATTATCAAAGATGTTTCGAAAAAAAAAGGGATAAAACATTATCACTATCACATCCTAACGGATTACCAAAATTTTTGAAAATCATTATCACATGTGTGTTTTAGAATATTACTTATAATAGTAAGTCAACATGGTTGATTCATTAATTTTTAAAAGTTTCCACAAATGATTTATTAACCTCTCTTTTTCAATATATATCGATATATAAAAATTAAATTATTTTAAATATATATATATATATATATATATATTTATTTATCTTTCTACAAAGGCTGATTTTTTAATTCTCAATTATCGTGTTTTAAATTGTCTGCGTCGTAAAAAGCTCCCAAATCGCTCGCTCCCTCCCAAATCGCCGAAACCCTAGACTATTAATTTCGCCGTTTGAAGCTCCCTCGTCGGAAGTCCGAGTCCGACGGTGGACGGCCTCCATCGCTCGTCCATGGCGGCGCAACCCTCGTCTCTATCGCTGCCGTTGGGATCGGTTCTGCTCGTCGGCCGTCGCAGAGGATTCTCTGCTCTGGTTGCGCGTCGGAGTTCAGGTGTCGTCGGCGCGGGTCGGGGTGTGGTGCTGGCCCATGGACGAGGCTGGGTTAGCTGCTTTTGGCTCTGGCTGGGACGCGCCTATTCTTCCTGCTCGCCTTTCTTGCCACCGGTCACGACCTGTGCTTTTCCGCCGGCGAAGTGGCGATTGGCCGGGGCCACTTCCTGTTCGGCATCTTGCTATGTCAATCGGAGGTTTGCCCTTGTTTCTGCTGCTTTTGTCTCGGTTCTATTTTTGTCCGTGATCGAAGGGACTTTTCGTTCTTTCCTTGGCAAATTGGAATTGGAGGCTCACGATTGGGGGGTCGTAGTTCTGTTGGGATCGGTTGCCGGTTCTGGTTGTACTCGGTCGTTTAGTTGTGTTCAACCGCTTCGGGCTGGGATGACTGGTTTGCTGTTTCAGGCGGGCTGACTCGGTGAAGTCGAGCCGTGAAGGTTTCTTCACGTGATTGGAGTGCGGGCCAGATCTTCGATTAGTTCAGGGGTGCGGGTATCCGTCTTGCTAGGCTTTTCGCAGTGGCGGGCGGTTGTTCTCGCGCTCGGGAGCCGTCGTTGGGGTTGGTTGTCTGCCATCAATTTCGAATTATCTGGCGGGGGAGGCTATTTGATTATGTTTGTATTTTGATTTATTTACTCTTAGATTTGTGTTTTGGTATTTTAGAATTGTGTTTTTGGTCTAGTCGTTTGGCCTCTGTGAAACTGAGTGTCACCTTATTATCCCAATGGGATCAGACACTCGAGTATTACTCCATTGGGATCCTTTTAGTTGTTAGTTGTTCTGACCTGTCCTCCCACTTTTTCAGTTGTTGACTGCTGTTTATTCAGTCGTTGGCTGCTGTGTATTCGTACATTTGTGCCTTTTGATTTATAATATAATCTATCGTTTCAAAAAAAAAAAAAAAATTGTTTGCATCGTACACAAATACTAATTTTTACAAAATTCACTCAGTTGTCCAAGGGAAAAGTGAGTCGTGCTGGCCCGTTCAGTCCAAACAATATGGTTATATCTAATTTCACACTCATTTATACATATTTGACATAAGTAAATAAATAAATAAACAATCGTTCTTATTGAAGTGTGGACTTGTCAGAGACAAGTATCTTATTATTTTTAGCTTTACACTATAGTTACTCAAATTTGTAATTCAATATTGTCAATATTTCATATTTTCACTAGTATTTCACATCACTATGTACATTTCCAAAAATTCCCCCTATTCCAAAAATTCTCCCTGTATATTAATTCAGAACGTGTTGAGCTTAATTGGCAGGCTCGCATGATTCGGGATCATATGGGGTAAAAGTACATGCTTCGTTATTATGCTTGAGTAGATTTTAATTTACTTCCAATCCAAAAATAATTAGGTTCGATTATCTATAAATATGTTGATTATTTATGGTCATATTACATGTATTAATTGCATTTTAATATAATTCTTATTATAACCATTGAATTGTAAATATATTTTAAAAGTTAATAACTTTTGTATCTTTTATCAGTTATAAATATATAATATATCAAATTAATCGTCTCTTGATGAGCTTCGATTCAACATCCATATTGTATGTATAACAAAAATAAATTATATTTATCTTTATAAGATCCCCCTATATATTAATTCAGAACGTGCTGAGCCTAAGTGGCAGTCTAGCATAGTTCGAGATCCTATGTGGCAAAAGTACATGCTTCGTTATTAGGCTTGGGTAGATTTTAATTTACTTCCAATCCAAAAATAATTAGGTTTGGATTATCTATAAATATGTTGATTATTTATGGTCATGTTACATGTATTAGTTGCGTTTTAATATCATTTCTTATTATAACCATTGAATTGTAAATATATTTTAAAAGTTAATAAATTTTTTATTTTTTATCAGTTATAAATATATAATATATCAAATTAATCATCTCTTGATGAGCTTCGATTCAACATCCATATTGTATGTATAACAAAAATAAATTATATTTATCTTTGTAAGAATAATAAAATTGTTTTAGTATTAATTAGAAAAATAAAATTATTTATCGATTAATATATTTATATTTAAAGTAGTTATATGATATAAGTTATAATAATTGCTATAATATAACACATTTAAGTCGCACAAGTAACAAGTGTCATTTTAAAATATATAACAATATACATTTTTTTTGTAAAAAAAGTAAATAAAATTCAAAATAATTTTTCTCATTAATTTTAAAATTTAAGAATAATTTTTAACAAGCACTCGTGTAATACATGGGTGTTGTACTAGTTTATTTATTTTATAGTTTATATTCTCATTATTAGATAATAAAAAATTCGACTTAATGACTTAAGAAAGGAAAATGAATCCAATTAGAAAAGTAATCTCAATAACTAACATTTATGCAACTTTAAGAAATTCATTTCTAAAAGTGTGGAAAAAATTAAAGAGAATTTAACCCTTGAGCTTTTCCATTTCAAACCTCCCATTTCAAACCTTTGAGCTTTTCCATTAGAAACTTGCTTCTCGCCTCAGTCAACGATGCATCATCGATTAGTTCTCTTGTTATTTTCATCAGTGCACCACGTCTGCCTTGCAAAGATTCACCTACTTCAAAATCAAATGGCGTATCATAAATAAGATCACACTTTGCATCCTTCGTCCACCTTTTCTTCACGTACTTTTCAGGTACTAACATAATTTGTTCAACCCTCATCCAACATAGCATGTGTCGACAAGGATACCCTTCAAACTCAATTTTTTTACAGCTACAAGCTATAAAATCTTCAGGGACATCATATGTCAAAATTCGCTGACGTCGAGTATTCATTTCAATATCAAACTGCCAAACTTCATATACTCGAGAATCGTTTGAACTTGAGACCATTTTGCATATATAGCTCGCACTTTCTTCGAACTCTTTCTGGAATAACAAAAATATAGACTTCGTATAAATCTCTGCCATCTGCTTTTCCATAGCGAATGAGGTGTTGATCCGTGGCTTTTCATTTAGATCAACATGACTAGCCATCAATTCTTCATGTCTCTGATGTGCAATAGCCCTACTAAAACGAGTGAAAAAGTCATTCAATGAACATTTTTTGTCCAGGTACCTTTTGAAGAATGCATGATTACTCTCAACTCGTTGGCTGCTGGACATACCTGCGGCGAAAACACCCCTTACATAAGCTGGAATCCAACGATGGCGGATTTCATACATCTTTGACAACCATCCATTACCATTCAATTGGGAATCACTCATCAACGAATTCCACCTGCACTCAAACTCATTAGGAGTCTCAAGGTCATTAATAATACCACTTAAAGTATGATAGTGTAACTTATGAAGAACAAGATCGAGCTCTTCTGAAAATTTGTTCAGAATGTGCCAAATACAATATCGGTGCATAGTCTTCGGAAACACCTCGGCCACAGCATTTGACATAGCTGCATCTTGATCAGTGATAATAACTTGTGGATGTGGTTGGTCTGCCATTGCTTTTATAAAATTAGAGAATAACCAAACAAATGATTCTGTTTTCTCGTCGCTGAGTAATGCACAACCGAATACAGTGGTCTGCCTATGATGATTAACACCTACAAAAGGTGCACCATTCCATATTTATTCGTATTATATGAGGTATCAAAGACAACTGCATTTCCAAACACTGCATATGAATTTCTTGATTCACTGTCGGCCTAGAAATACCTGGTAAAAACACCATCCTCATTTGTCTCGTAAACATAATAAAAATTCTCATTCTTCTCCTTTTCCATTTCCAATTGGTGAATCAAGGTTTGTGCATCATGTCCACTTAATTTAGCTTTACGTGCTGCTTGTTTATTTCAGAACCCATCATAGAGGGACCACCAGAATCAATTTCAAACAATCTAACTTGTTTGCATGTGGGTATATTTGCCTCCGTGTACTCCTGGACAAGCGCTCTTTTGGTGGCTGATACACCTCTATGAGATCTCAACAAGTGAACCTTCCTAGGAGTAGCGAGCGGATGATTGTGCTTCTCTACAAAATGTTTCACCACCTAAATTTCATTTTTTTTTCTAACACTCATTCGAGCTGGGCAGTTACAACGAGTCTCTCCACGCTTTCGTTCCTTAGTTTCTGTCACTGCAACTCGTTTATTTCAATACGCCACATTTGTCTTCCTTTCTTTAGAGCAAGCAAACATTTTTCCCACAAGAGTGCCAGCTTTTGGATCGTTTTGACTGTTTTTAATTTTAGTGCTAAATCTTGCATCTTTAGCATATTCATTGTAGAAACGAACAACTTTTTCCGCCGATTCAAATTCCTGTCCTATTAAAGGCTTCACCGACGAATCAACCTGTAGTATGAACGTTTCATCTTGTTTGATCTCCATCCTACGTAAACAAATATACCGAAGGTCATAAATAATAAAAATAAATCTACAATCATGACAAAAAAATTCATATTTAATATTCTTCGTTTCGAATTCATTATAATAATATAATATTTTGTTAATAAATACATGAATAAATAAAACATGAACTCAATAAACTGAAACTAACTCGAAACATTAGAAAATTTCTTTTACATAGTTGAATTCAATTAGGGTTACCTTATAAATTTTCAGAAAATCCTTGTATGAATGAAGATGCGAGAAGAAGAACAACCGGGTTACGTCCAGAGTAGATGCGAGAAGAAGAATAACGACGTTTTTTTTTTCTTGTTGGCGTCTACAGTACTCCACAGTAAATGCAAGACGAAGAAGAGAACGACGTTATGTTCGCCCCTTTCTTTTTTTTTTTAAAGAAACAATAAAGTAAAAATAAATAAAAAATGACATGGATTTTGTTTTAATACACATAAGAGCCATGTAGGAGCCATGTAGGCAGATTGTTCCATAAGAAAAACAATCGGATTGTTCTATAGAAAAACCGTCCTTTTAAAAGTATAAGTGCTGATTAATTATACTTACAAAAATTGATGTCAATTTTCCAACTTCAGCAGTAATTATTTTGGATTCAAAATAAGACTTTGGTAATATGGTATTAATAGATAGAAATTAATTAAGAAAATTCTTAATTGAATAAATATGCATATGTTAAATTATTAATTGAATAAATATGCATATAATTCATCTTCATTAAGCAAAAACATAACAACAAATCAATTGATCGTTAAATCATATCCGAGTCTGCAACAAGAGCGAATCGAATATTCAATAATCGAAACAAATTAACAAACATGCCCTTATCACTTTTTTTTTTTTTATCTCAAAAGAGTCATGCATGTTTAATTTCCTCTAAATACTTCCTATATATCAAGGCCACCGACTATATAACGTCAAGCCCGAAGGCGGGTAGTTCCCGGTGAAGTAAATGCCGTCTTTTAATGCCGCGTAAAAGCATAGATTTGTTTTGTAGCATCTATCATCACGGTATGCTTCGAACGCGCGTATAGTAACGTCTGGCTTTTTATTAACCCATTGGATAGTGCAAAGGTACTGAGTCGAGCGAGGGTTGGAGCAAAGAGTATAATTGACCTCTCTGTCGAGCCCAATGAGGTGATATCCAAAGTCTTCGTTTGCGCTAAAACAATGAACGGAAAGCCTCGTGCCAAATTGTCCCCGAGTATAAGGAAGACTGTTTTTAACAAAGAGTTTGTATTTGCAATTGGAGTTTAGCATTGAGGTGTTTGATGAAGAGGGTTTGTGTAGTGTGGCTATAGCTTTGATGAGGAATAAATAAGGTGAGAACATGAATGGAAGTAGAGAGAATATTAGTATGGTGGAATACTTCATTTTGAACTCTAATGTANTTTCTTTTTTTAAGAAGATTTTTGTATGTTTGATGTGAAAATGTGTTGTCTATATGTATGATATATATACAGGTAGAGACTATATTATGAGAATCATGGATAGTTAAGGGAATGCAATCAATTAGAGGGTAATTGGTTATATTATGTCTAAGCAAATAGGGTTAAATTTTTCAAAATAAGTAATGAATATATGAGAGAATTTTTTGTCAAAATATTATGACATATTACAATATTTGTCAAAAGGAAATATTTATTTTTCTTTAATTGAGGGTAGGCAATGAATATTGAATATATTTAAGGGAAAATGCAGAATATCATTAAAGAAAAGAGAAAATTATAGTTTTAGTCCAGTAACATAGGTCGTTTCCCATTTTCGTCCAATAATTTAGTCGGGTCTAAAATTGGTCCAAAAACTCATAAATTTTAACCAATTTAGTCCTATTTCGGCCCATTCGATGAGAAGTTGTTGAGTTAGCAAATTTCAACATTGACTAAGCTGATGTGGACTGATTTTCGGCAAATTANAAATTCTAAGAGGTAAATGAGGACGATAAGAGCTTTAAGTTGATGTAAAAAATATTCCGACCGGATGTGGTCGGCCAGCGGCCGACGAATGGCGGTGGTGGACGGGTGAGGACATGTTGAAATAGGGTTTGGAAATAGAAGGGGCTCTTTTTTAAAATTTAATAAGTTATGTGGACTATTTTGTAATTTTAAAAGTTTTAGTTAATTGCAACTAAGGTCTGTGGCTAATGTGGATCGTTGATTTTGAAATCAATGTTTTAATCCCGTCACAAAAACCACAATCACGCCATGTCTGATCTAAAAATGCCACGTCACATTTTATCCAAGGTGCAGATAAAAAAGGACCAAAATTGATTAAATTGTCAAATTATAGTACATCAGTTTGAAAGTTGTCAATATCGAGGTGGAAAATTTGATTTTGGTCAAATTATATGACCAATTTTAAATTTTGGCCTTAGTTAATATATACACCAATTGATGTGACACGTGCCAAAAAATTAGCATATTATATACAATGAGTATTTAGTTAGAATATATGGTGATATATAATAAAAATGCCATAGCATCTTAAAATGTTCCCATGATGAGTAGGTGATTATTTTGAAGTTCACACTAATTACTTATGCACGCATTTAAATTTTCTCATTAAATGATCTACATTAATGCTAAGGAACCAATAGTTAATGAGACAGCTTCATATGGACTGTCCCACATACATTACTGATCAACAATTGACTGTTGGCTCCGTAATGGAGCCAACAATTGGCTCCTTAGCATTACTAGTCAATCCATTGAGTGCACAATGCACACACATGACACATGTACTTGTTGAATCCTTTATATGATTTTAGATTTACACGATCAATTTGAACAGAAAGAAGAGGGATGCCATTTTGACATTTGGCTTAGATTTTAAGAATGGCCATACCGGTTCCGATTCTCTACAAAACCCACACATGGCAAAAAATCATCACATTTTTCATGTCACGAGATTAGGAAAATGAATTCTCTGTTAATGTGTGAACAAGTTTGAAATTAGTGTATAAAAGCTCCATAAAATGTGTTTTTTGATGCACTATATTGACTTCTTTTTCAAAAATGTATATTATATTGACATACATCATACTTTTATTTATTATTTTTTTTTTTTTGCACTAATAGTAAACATAATAAAATACAAAATATAATCCAGCGTAAGCTAAACCTCCGATACAAACCCAAACAAGGGAGATAAAAAAAAAGGGATGCTATCAATCAACAATAAAGGTCCCGTCGACGAAAACGAAGAAGCCCGACTAGCAAGAGAATAAGCAACAATATTATAATCCCTAGCCACATGAGAACAAGACCGGCAATTAAGCTTTGCCAAAAGCGATAAAATATCCATGAACACTTGGTGCAACGGATCGTACGGGGAGTTTTGAATCAACCCGAATCAAGGAGCTCGATCGTACGGGGAGTTTTAAACTTATTCCATAATTTGCATTCCGTCTGTTTTCGTACTTTGAATAGAGAAGCCCGAATCTAATGCGAAACGAAGACCATACCTGAGGGCAACTGATTCGGCCGCAGCTGGTGAAAAGGAACCTGAAATGCAAACTGCAAAGGCCGCCCAGCAAACTCCTTTCGAATCTCCAATCCAACCGCCCAAGCCAATTGTTGTTTCTCGAACCGCAGCATCACAGAATAAGGTTAGATCATTACGGCAATTCCCTGTTCCAAACCAGCTATCAAAAGCTAGTGGAAGCAAAACGCGATCCAAATCAAGCCGCCTCAACCGAGCCTTGTTGGCCTCCTCTTGCCAAGCCACCGCAACTGACCAAGCTTGCTCCACCGATTTAGCTTGCAAACCGCGTTTAATTTGGTTTCGCTCACGCCAAACGATCCATAGTAAATAGGCAAAACTAGTAAAATCGGCACCACGATCATTGTTCAAGAGCTCCTCAAAAATAACAGAAAAACCCATACCTCGAATAGGAGCGAGAATAGTCCACCACCCGGAGGATTTCCAAAGTCTCTTAGCCCAAGCACACTTGAAGAAAACATGAAGATTAGACTCCCACCTCGAGCATCTGGGACATCTAGCCTCCACTCCAATATGTCTCCTGAACAGGTTCTCAGCTGAAGGGAACGCCAAGTTACATACCCTCCAAAGGAACATTTTGATTTTAGGGAGTATGTTCAAATTCCACAAAGCTTTCCACCACCCAACATTTCGCGAAGACAAAAATTCTGCAAGACCAGAGGATTGTTGCTTGAGCAAATGATACCCACTCTTAACAGAGTACTCACCGTTCTTGGAAAAGTGCCAGATGATACGATCAGAGGTGGTGGTAGCTCGACTAAGGGGAATGGAAAGAATTTTAAGCGAGTCAATTGGTTGAAAAACTGGATTTATCAATTCATGATTCCAATCTCCATCACTTTCGAATAGTTCGCAAACTCGATCAATGCATGACGGAAAAGAAGAAATAGGCCGAAACCCCTGAAAATGAGGGATCTAGGGGTCCGAGAAAGCTCTAATTGTTAATTACATAAGTCTTCACAACACAAAGTTAAAAATGATAATGAACTCATGAAATCTCAAAATAAGTAAGATTTTTAAAAGTTTAAAAATGTGTAAGTTAATTACATATAGACTCTTAAAATGTCCACATATTTATAATGTCTTATTATTAAGGAATATATGTAAAAGTGCAATATACAAGTCATTTATGTCAATATTTTGATTTATTGTTGGAAAATTAAGTCATTTGCTCATTTATTAGTGTAGTTCTCGTGCACTGCACGGCGGGGTTGTTTCCTCAAACCCTTTTCTCTGAACTTTATTTTAAATATCTTTCCTTCAAAATTAAAAATTTGATTAATGAGAAAAAAAGAAAGACAAAGTATATAAAAAAATTATATATTATTAAGCACTTCTCTATACACAATATTATTGGTTTATATCACGCAAAGTGAGAAAACTTCTAAACAAAATTGATGTTGTCTATACCACGCAACGCAAAGTGAGAAAACTTCTAAAAGAGAATCGATACAATGGAAATGAGCCATTTATTTTATAGAAATCGGTTCCCCATGAAATATGATATGATATTTGCCAACAGTTTATTTGTAAATAACTAAATACCAATATGGTTCTTCACTTGATAATGATGAAAGGCATAAACTTCTCCATCCAGCATCTCCAATGCTCCACTTTGAACATTAATTAAATTTGAACACATGTCAAATGGTGAATGGAATGTAAATCCATGTAATATGAATGTCAAAAGAGAAGACTTTAACTTGGAATGCACATCTCCAATGCATCCCTTTCAAAAGCTTAAAATAGGTTAGATTTTTTATGAGTTGGCTTTCAAACACTCTTTGAAAAACTAGAAAGTGGACTTCACACTTTGGATGTTTATTGTCTCCATGTCAGCATAAAAGAGTCCATAACATTATGGATTGGAGATTAATTTTTGTTTTCACTTTATAACTTGATGATATGGCTAACATTTTATTAAGTCGACATCTCACATTGGAGATGCTCTAAGAGCGTCAATGAACTTAGGTATGTGAACAGACCTTATGAATCTGATTATCCGCCCATCCTAAAGAATAAAACGAATTACAATACTATAAATGAAAAAAAAAATGAAGTTGATTATAGAAAGAAATGACAAACCTCATTGTCATGAAAAATCAACTCAAACACATTTTTGTAAGAAAACTTTTCGGACTTTCGTTGAAACATGCGAATAATACGAAGCTTGATAAATGGCTTATTGGACCTCTTGATATCCTTGATCAAACCCCATGTTTTCGTCATTTTCTTAAAAATAAAAAAGAACACGTTGTATTTCTATGATGTGTTTAGTATGTGTTGAATGTAAAATAAGCATTGGTCTTTTTATAGTGAAATTTACGTAAGTTTCATTTGTTAAGTAGATCAATGCAAATATTTTTGGAGATTTAGGTAATAAAGTTAATATCAAATATCCGACTTTTAGTTGGTAATACGATAACAAAACTTCAATAAATCCGATTATTACTTAGGAAAAATATTGTGAAGTAGTTTTACTTTCTTAGTATACGATTTCAGAATTTTACTAAGGTTAAATTACTATTTCATTTGTTAATTAGATCAATGCAAAAAAAAATAAAATTAGAGATTTAGTTTATAAATTTAATATTAAATATCCGACTTTTAGTTGGTAATATGATAACAAAACTTCAATAAATCCGATTATTACTTAGGAAAAATATTGTGAAGTAGTTTTACTTTCTTAGGATACTATTTCAGAATTTTAATAAGGTTAAATTACTATTTCATTTGTTAATTAGATCAATGCAAATATTTTTTTAGAGATTTATTAGTTTATGAGATCAATTTATCCGATTATTAATTAAGATTGATTGTCGTGCAAATAG